TTAGACAGACCTGCAGAGATAATAGCATGCACATAAACAAGACAGAGCAAAGCCAAGCAACAAAATAAAACAACAAAAGGCCAATGACAAAAAACCCCAAAACAAATAGAACACAAAATCAACCAGCAAGAAAATCTTGTAATTAGTTCAGGGACTCTTTGTTGGCCTTTAGGAGTGTTTTCCTGTTGAGTCTGATGGGGTGCCAAACCCTGGCCCCAAAGTCTAATTTTGGTATTCCTTGGGGACTTCATTGCTCTGTTCCCCTTGCTGTTCTGTTGCACGCCCCTAGTGTTTTATCTTGGTGTGGTGGGATCAGATTGGGTGGAATTCCCACACTGTGTCTCCAGTGTGGTCCCCTGTAGGGCTATGGGTCAATGAAGGATGTGTGTCTCCTAGTGGGGCCGGCCATATGGTCTTCTCTGTGGATCGTCAAGGCTTGGTGGGCCAGGATGTGCTCCACTCTCTCTTCCCCCCCCTTCATTTGCTCCCTTGTGCTCTGATCGGACATAACCCTCTCCCTGAGCTGCAGCTTCAGTGCTGTCCTCTGAAATAAGTTCTTTTGGGGGGAGAGGGGGGCAGCTGTCTACATAATTGGAATTAGGGCCAACCCCTCAATGTATTCAGATTTGTTGATCCAGTTTTCTGAAATTCTTTAAAGGGAGGCAATGGAAACAATCTCCTGTACTTTACCGATATGTTTTCATTTTGTGCATCTTGGGACATCTAGAGATGACAGAAACATTGTTTTATATTTCCTTCCTTTCTCCTAGGTCTTATGGGTTAACTGGTGTTTGTAAAGCAAACTCACTGCCCGTGAGTCAAGTCTGACTAACGGTGACTGTGAGACAGGGTAGAACTACTTCTGTGCGTTCCCGAGACTTCTTTTTCACTTGTTTGTTTTCTGCACTTCGTCCTCATGTCAGACGATTCAATAATCCAATCATACCAAGAAAAGTTGTAGAATTATCACCACAGTCAATTCTAGAACATTTTCTTCTTCCTTTTACTCATTGTAGTTATTCGCGTAGTTTTTTTGTTTTTTTAATTGTGGCAAAAATATACACAACAAAACATTCTCCAGGCGTCCCTCTGGGATATAAAGCCATGACATTGATAACATCCATAATCTCCCCACTGACAGAACCCGAGACTGCTGACATGAAGAGCTCATGTGAGCACCGTGTAACTGCAGTCCACGAGCTGTTGCTTGGTATGGGTTGATTTCATGGGCAGAGCTCGGTCTGACTGAGCATGGGGACTGGTGCGGGGGGACAAGAGACGAACTCTTTGTGAGCACCGTGTAACTGCAGTCCACGAGCTGTTGCTTGGTGTGGGTTGATTTCATGGGCAGAGCTCGGTCTGACTGAGCATGGGGACTGGTGCGGGGGGACAAGAGACGAACTCTTTGTGGGAGCAGAGAGCCTCATCTTTCTCCTGTGGAGCTGCTGCTGGTTTGAAACTGCTGGCCTTGTGACCAGCAGCCCAAGGAGTCACCGCTGCACCACCAGGGCTCCTCACTTGTGTTCATCGTTGGAGGCAACTTGGCTTGATTTTTTTCCTACTTGTCTCATTACTATTTACTAAGCAAGCAAATGTTTTGAAATGTCTTATTCCCACAAATTAGTATAAAGATTTTTTTTTCCTCTCCAACGTTTTGTGAAATGGGTAAAGGTTTACAGAGCAGGTCAATTTTCAACTATCCATACACATTTTTACAGCACTGACTGCAATCCCATATATAGATCTGCTCTTTCTGGATTCTGTTTATTTGCAGGTATATGTCTCCCTGTCATTATCAGGATATTTTAATTGATATCATAATATTTTTTATTAAATAGGTAGACTTTTCTTCATTCCTTTTCACAATGTTAATTCCTGTGCATTTATTTTTACAAATGAAATTCAAGAATCGGTTTGATCTACTTCTATTTTTTTGATGTCCTAACAAGTTTTGATTAGCAGTACATCAACTTGGGAGAGGAATTTGAAAAGAACTGACAGCGAAGTCACTACCAATTTCAGCGCCAAGGCCAAGAACATGAATCACACCATCAGATCAATTGTGCAGGTAGTGGTCAGAGTTGTGGACAAATGCCACCCACAGGGTGAGCAGTCTGCTGCCTCCCTGCCCTAAGGATTTTCCCAACTAGATGGTTAGCTCCTTAAACAGGCACGACTCTTCAAGTCCACGCGTGGCTTGTCGGCGTATAAATGCAACAAAACGAAATGGTATGAGGTGTTTCCAAAGTATGGAATGAAAAATTTGTGGAATTTTTCTACGATCTTTTTGAAGCACCTGACAAGGATTTTGTTTCTTTAAACATTGTGGGAGGGTCCAGGGCTAACATTTCTGATCAGCAGTTGAAGTCACCCTCTGTGCTTGTGTCACTTCTAGAGAAAAGACATGGCCACCTTTTCTATGAAGGTGAGAAGAGGCTTCTGGCCAGCACTGCAGATGAACTGGAAAGTGTGGACACCCATCCAGTTTATCAACGTCAACTATGTCCCTGTGCAGGTAGGGGACCAGCCTTGCTGGCCTCTCGCAGAGAGGGCCAGACATGAGAGGGGGATGGGTTCCTTCCACACAAGACAGTTGTTTTTTTACGTTTTATTGGGATATAATGCACATATTATACAATTCAGTAGCTCTATCATTTCAGGAAGAGTTGTACAATCATTACCACAGTCTGTTTTAGAACATTTTCTTCTTTCTTGTACTCCTTGCTGTTAGCTCCCCGTTTTCCCCAACCTCCCGTCACACCCTCCAGAAACCACTGATCCAGTCACTGCCCCTATAGATTCACCCATCCTGGATTTCATCACCAAAACCACAAAAACAAAGAACAGAATAGAGAAAAACCTCAATCAAAAAGAAAGCAGGAAATATTAAAAACTAGAACTTTAAAATGGGTCAAAAGGTAGATCAAATAAGAAGTTACATTTTAACCTAACTAGGGCTACTCTAACCATCTCTACAATCCCCTGATGACCGTGGTCAGAGGAGATTCACTGGAGGCTTAACCTAGGTGTGGGCCCTGCATATGGATCTTGGGCTTCCACTACTATCCATGGCCCTCTGCAAACTTGGCGTTCACAATTGTAGCTCTGATGCCATTCCCTTCTTTGGATCATGTTATTTACAACCCTCGGATCACTCAGGCTGGTGTGCTTCTTCCATGTGGACTTAGTTGAAGCCTCACTTATAACAAGTTCTTATGCCCGAGACTATTCTTTTTGCTAGCCAGGCACCATCGAGTTTCTTTACAACGCTATGCTGTAGCACCCCTATCTTCAGTAATCTTTTTTCCCTTTGTGCTTTCTTTCAACCACCCATTGTTTTCAGAGCTCTGGTTGTGTACAGATGCTGTAGGTGTTAAGAAAGATCATGCAACTGACACATATCCAGTGACTTTAGCCGTGGTATGTCCCACAGGAGCAATTTCAGTGGATCCACAGGGGCTGAGGCCAGAGTGAGTTCAGGAGTGAATAAGGATGTACAAGGGAGGGCATCCAGAGTAGAGAACCTTCTTCAAGGAAGGGAGTGAACAGACGGGGAGAAACAATATGTAGAAGAGATCACGAGACACATCCCAGAGGAAAACCATCACGGCGCTATAATTGTGAGAAAAACAATTTTATTCTGCATATATGTAAAGAGAAAAGAGAGATGGGAAATGGACTGACACACCATCAAAGCTATGCCTGACTGAATACAAAGATATATAGGATTTGCAGTGTGTATATACAGTTGGTGGTGGCTTGATTCTTTCAATAAATGAGATACCTAAATGTAAACAGTAACTTCTGCAAAAACCCTTTGTCAAAGCTTGGTGAGGAAGTCAGGAGGGACCTTCTGTTGTCCATTGGATGAAGGATGGATGCTCTTTCTCTATTTGCCTATTTTTGCCTTTGGAGAGAATGCCCTTAAGTCTTTCTATGTTTCCACTCCATCCATTTGCCTCTTGTTTGTGTATGTACCTCCTTCCTCTGTCTCTGTGTAAGTTCCTCCTTTATCAGTCTGTCTTCCCAGTAAGCAACATGCTCCTCCCTACCCCCAGGGATCCCTGAGGAATGTGCTCAGGGCTACCAGCCTTCCCTGTCTCCTTGGGACTTCACCTGGCAGCCTGGCAGTCAGAAAGTGGATGCGCAGCACTCAGGGAGGCATTAGGACTATTTCCAGCGTTAGGATGAAATGGGTTCCATCAGGGGTGCCTTTGGTTTTAGGCACAAATGCAGAAGGAAAAGAAGGTGTTGAGGATAGTTAAGTGTGACCACGTTTGGTAAGTTGCAGTGCTCCTTGTGAGATGGGCAAAGAAAACATACCATTCTGGGATATGGTGCCCCTAAAGATAGGCAGGATAGGGTTCCAGCGGTTAAGTCAGGACCTGTTCTGGGCAGAGGACCCCCCCCAGAAGAGGAGAGAGAAGGTAGCGAACTCTTAAGTGGGATGGTGGGAAGGTGAGAGGGGGTTCTCTCATTTCTCAGAAGTCTCTGACTCCTGTGTGCTCTCTTTGGCAGTTCCGGGTGCTTTTTGCCAATCTGGTGGCTCTGTTCTGGTATGCCTACCTGGCTTCTCTGGGCAAGTGAAGTTGGCCTGGGGAGAACGACGGAAGCTCTGAGGGCCATTCTCAACCCCTCAATGTCTGAGAGCAGAATCAAGAGTCAGCAGTCTCCCTGAGTTGAAATCCTATGAAGAAAAAAAAAAAAAAATCCTATGACCCCAGATGCCCTAAAGTGACGGGCAGAGAACTAGAAATCTTTTAAAGTTGGAGTCACATGCTTAGAAAAATGCAGTAGCCGATTCTAAGTGGTGCTGCCCTTGAAGTGTAGATTCCACCCCGTGACTTCAAACAACCTTGAATTGAGCCAGGATCACAATAAACTGAAACACAGAGGCTTTAGTGGTGGTTTTCATTTCTCAGGATGGCGGTTCTAAGTTTAGAAAACAAAAACGAAACAACACATGTTCAGAGGGCTGCTCAAAAATGTCAAAAAGAACAGTCACTTCAGAATTCAGGGAGAAGGGGTCAGAAGAGTTCTCAAGGGAAGACATGTAGGGCAGACCGAAAAGTAACCAGCTCTGTCTTGTCAAGTGGAAACAAACTCCACTCCAACCACACCCTGCCAGAGACTAATGGGTCCCAAGAAAATGTAGATTACTCTTGAGATCTTCGAAGCATTAACATCTACTGCAGATTTACATGGTACATGATAATCCTGAGTATCATCAAACCGGACCCATTTCCTACTCACTGGGACAGGGTGGATGTCCCAGACGTAACCCACAGCACCACCAGGGCTCTTGGGAACATTACACGAACTCGGTTCACTTCATCTCTTCAACTGTGCGCTGATATATCTTTGCTCTCCCCATCTCACACATTGGGAGACTGAGGCAATGCCAACATTGCAAGAAAGAAACTCATGTAGAATTCAGACAATCAGTACAGTTCCCAAGCTACTACTTTACCATGTCGACGTCCAAATGGAGAACCCTGGTGGGTCTCTGAAAAAGAACTATGAACGCCTATGTATGCCTGACCTATCTGGGCTGCCAACCAGCTCATCCTTTAACCCACAACTGCCAGCCACCTGGTCAGGGGTAGAGTATAGCACTTACTCCCACCCACTTGCCACCTTATCAATCACGGAGAAACAGCAAGGCCCTGGGAGGAAAAAACAAACAGAATTGCCAGAATAACTGAGGGCTCATCTGGGGTGGGGTGTGTGTGTGTGTGTGGTGGGGGGCAGAGTGAGGCAAAGGCGACAAATATGCCTTTCACAAGGGACGGGCCTAGAGCAGAGGATCAGAGAGATGACACGTTTTTCCTTGAACAGCCGTGCAGCTGCCCTTCCTTGGAAAAGGCGCAAAAGTTTCTGCTAAAGCAACCTCGTCTGTCGGTCTGTTTCCATGAGAAGGGAAAGCTGTAAGTCAAATGGGGCCCCTTCTCACATTCCTACCTAGGTTCAAAGGCCGCCTTTCCCGTTCCTGTTTTCTGCTTGGTTTCTCCCCATCAGGTCCTCGGACACATTTCGTCTTTTTGTGTTTTAATCATTTTATTAAGGGCTCACACAACTCTCATCACAATCCACACATGCGTCAATTGTGTACAGCACATTTGTACATTCATTGCCCTCTCCACTTAAGCCCTTGCCGTTAGCTCATTTTACCCCCTCCCTCCCCAGTTCCCCCTCCCCCATGAACCCTTGATAAATTATAAATTATCTTATCATATCTTACACTGTCTGACGTCTCCCTTCACCCACTTTTCTGTTGTCCGTCCCCCAGGGAGGAGGGTATATGTCGATCCTTGTAATCGGTTCCCCCTTTCCACCCCACCTTCCCGGTATAGCCACTCACACCACTGGTCCTGAAGGGATCATCCACCCTGGATTCCCTGTATTTCCAATTCCTATCTGTACCAGTGTACATCCTCTGGCCCAGCCAGACTTGCAAGGTCGAATTGGGGTGATGATAGTGGGGGGGGGGGGCACATTTGGTTTTACTGCACTTCTCAGGCATTCACAACTGGAAGGTTTCTACTACCCTGCCTTGAGCAAGCCTGTCGCTGCCATTGTTCCGGTGGCACGTGCTCGCCGTGTCCCTCATTGGGTCATCCTCGCAGGATAAGGAACTTCATGCCGTTGCACTTCAGAGTCCAGTACAGGGTAAGCCCCGCTTCGCGGTGCGCTGGGAAACTCACTTCTCTGCGGCGCGCTGTGGCCGCGGCCGGCTGCAGGGTCTTCCCCCCGCCCCGCCCCATCCCTGCTCACGCCGAGAGCCTGCGAAGGGGCACTGTGAAGGCGAGCCGCGCCCTGCCCAGGGACTTCCACACCAGCCCAGACGCCCACGCTTCCCGTCGCAGGAAGACCCCCAGGGCACGAGGGGCAGGACTTCCGGCACGTCCGCCGGAAGCGAAGGGCACGCGGAAGGGTGTCCCTGGCGGCGTGCCGTCCGCGTCCGTTGGCCCTCGGCGTAGCTGCGCGCGGGAGCGGAGCGGCATGGCGTTCCGGCAAGCGCTGCAGCTGGCGGCCTGCGGGCTGGCCGGGGGCTCGGCGGCAGTGCTCTTCTCGGCCGTGGCCGTAGGGAAGCCGCGGGCGGGCGGAGACGCGGAGACACGGGCAGCCGAGCCGCCCGGGTGGGCGGTGGGCGTGCGTCCCCCGCCCGGCGTCTGGGACCCCAACTGGGACAGGTAGGTGGGCGCGGGGCTTGGGCCGCCGGGCGCGGCGATGGAGATGGGACCTCACCCCGCGAGGGCGTTTGTAGATCCCAGGGTTCTGGTGCGGCCAGGGATTGGTTCCGGAATCGGCTCAACTCTTCCCGCTGCCCAGTGCAGCGGTGCTTCCTCTGAACTGTCTTCCTTTGTGGCTTGTCGTGAGCGTCAGCGCGAGGGGCAGGCCGACCGGCGTCGAGTGGCTTTGTACTCCTCACCGAAAGAAGGGGAAAGCAAGACCTGACTTGGGGACGTTCTCCAGAGCACTTGGAGAATGGATCGGATCCCCGCTAATGAATCAGATCCTTGCCTCAAAACCGCGAGTTAGATGGCAGCACTCGAAGCAGGACACTAGCCGGGGCGGTTGGCAGGGCTTTCTTTACAAGGCACTCCTGTTCGCCTGAGCCGGCCCAGTACATGGCAGTGATACAGTGGGACCGTGCGAGCCTTTGGATTGCCACTGAGCGGCTTCCGGAAGTAGTTTGCCAGGCGTTTCTTCTAGTCCCTGGGGTGGAAGCTCCACGGAATATTCGGAATAGCAACAGGCAAGCTGCTTCCGAGCCTGGTGTTAGCTGTGCCTGAGGGTGCATTGGCCAGTCCCCTGCATGCAGGGCAAGGGTTCTGTCCTTTCCTAGCCGTCCCAGTACCCGGAGAGGGGACCAATTGGAGGACTATAGGTGCAAGAATATCAGTTCTCTGCAGGGACCTGGCTAGCAGGTGTCGGTATTGCTAGTTGCCAGATATAATGGATTATTATTAGATAAGAGACATCACTGAAGTCTTACCTTTTTAATGTGGCTCCTGGAGCTTTTAAATTAAGTCGGTTGCAGTGCATTTTTGTTGAACCAGCACTGCTGTAGAGGCAGGGTAGTTGGTGTGGACTGTTTCTACCCAGTCCTAAATTCTTACCGTGTTTGAGATTTAATGCTTGGAGAAGGGACACAGAACCAGTATTTATTGCTAGGGGGAATTGTATCAGGAACTTCCTCTGTATTTTCATTTTTAACTTTTTCCCTCTAAGCCTTTTTATTTTAAACAGCATTACATTTACAGAGAAGTTGTGAGGTTAGCACAGAGAATTTCTATATGCCCCACACCTAGCTCTTTCTGCCAACATCTCACACAGATGGAGTATATTTGTCACCCAAGTATTGAACCAGCATGTTTACCTATTGCCAGTGAGTTGGTTTCTAAGTTGCAGAGGACGGAGTGGAACTGAACTGCCCTGTTGGGTGTCTGAGAAACATTCTTCGTGGAAGCAGACGGGCTCAGCTTTCTCCCATGCAGTGTCCAGTGGATTGGAACTGCTGACACCTTGTGGTTAACTGCACACCATGAAACTCCGACTTGACATTGTCTTCGTGCTAGTGACACCATGGGTGTTAGACTGCTATCTGAAAGGGTTGAACCCATTAGCTAAGAAAGATGAGGCAGTCTGCTTCCATAAAGACTGACAACCTTGGAAACCTTACAGGGCTCTGCCATTGAGGGCTTGCTATGAGTCAGGATGGACTAGGTGGGAGTGTGCTTCTTTTGAGTTTGACATTGTCTTGTCTTCTCAAGTGAACTAGAATGGAAGTTGCACAGAGGAGAGGCTTAGCTTGCTGATTTATTCAGCTGTACTTCCTAGAACATAAGGGATGGTTGAGTAAGGGGATGTGCAGCAGGAGACAAAATGTGCCTGGGCTGTAGGCAGAGACATTGCTAGGTGGTTGGGATAGAATGCTGAGGGCCTGGACTCCACCCTGGGCTCTGAAAATCTGAATGTCTGCTTTGTCAGAAAGACTCCAGAGTGACTTAGAAACAAGTCAGCAGAGGTGTTCATCTTACATTTGAACGTTAGGCGGGAACCAGTGTCTCTTGTCAACGTCCGGAAAAGGAATGTGGAGTCCGGAGAAGAAGAACTGGCATCCAGGCTGGACCACTGCAAAGCCAAGGCTACGAGGCACATCTTCCTCATCAGGCACTCCCAGTACCACGTGGATGGCTCCCTGGAGAAGGACCGGACCCTCACTCCATTGGGTATGTGGACAGGAGCTTAGACAGACCTACCTATAACCCCATAGGGATGCCCTCTGGGCCCTATGCTGCCTGAAATCTGTGTCTGGGATGTATCTTCCTAGACTCAAGTGTTGTAACAGCTCAGAAACACAAACTCACTGCCATCGAGTCAATTCTCACTCATAGCGACCCTATAGGATAGAGTAGAACTGCCCCTGTGGGTTTCTCAGAATTTAAAAAAAAATACTTTTATTGGGGACTCTTACATCTCTTGTCACAATCCATCCATTCCTCCAGTGTGTCAAGCACGTTTGCACATAGACCGCCGCCATCTTCAAGGCATTCTCTTCCCACTTGAGCCACTGATGACTGCTCTCCATTTCTTCCCCTTTCCTCCCCCGCCTACCCTCCCTCACGAACCCTTAATAAGTTATATTTTTTCCATATCTTACATTGTCCTCCTTCGTCCCGCACCCACTTTTCTGTTATTCATCTCCCCGGGAGGGGGTCCTAGGTTGATCCTTTTGATCGATTTCCTCTTTCTCCCCCCACCCTCCCCTAATCCTCCTGGTATCTGTACTCTCCTTGTTGGCCCTGAGGGGTTTATCTATCCTGGATCCCCTGTGTTTCGGGCTCTTATCTGTAGCAGTGTGCATGTTCTGGTCTAATCTGAGTTGTAAGGTAGAATTGAGGTCATGATAGTGGGGTGAAGGAAGCACCAGAGAACTAGAGGAAAGTTGTGTTTCATCGGTGCTATACTGCACCCTGACTGGCTCATCTCTTCCCTGTGACCCCTCTGTGAGGGGATGTCCAATTGTCTACAGATGGGCATTGGGTCTCCACTCCATTCCCCACCCCCAGTTCACTTTGGGTTTGGTTTTATTCTGGGTCTTGATGCCTGATACCTGGTCCCATCAACACCTCATGATCACATAGGCTGGTGTGCTTCTTCCATGTGGGCTCTGTTGCTTCTCAGCTAGATGGCCCCTTGTTTATCTTCAAGCCTTTAAGACCACTTTGATACCTGGGCACCATCAGCTTTCTTCACCACATTTGCTTATGCACCCATTTTGTCTTTTCTTCAGTGATCATGTGGGGAAGGTGAGCATCACAGAATGCAGGATTGTTAGAACAAAGTGTTCTTGTGTTAAGGGAGTATTTGAGTTGAGGCTCAATGTCCATCTGCATCAGATTAATTCTTTATTGATGTAGAAAGCCTCATGTTTTTTTGGTGGCTTTGAACTGCTGACCTTGTGGTTAGCAGCCCAACATGTAACCCACAATGCCATTAAGGCTCCTCTTGTAATTATTAGTGCACCTTAATTCTGACTTAACGACAGGCATGTAAAAAAAAACAAAAGCACCTAGGATAAAATCTTACCTGTGATGAGGTTGGATACAGAGGTTTGCTTTAAAAACTTCAAGTAGTACATGGGTACTTGTTCTCCAGCCAGTCTCTTTCTCCTCAAATGTGATTCCATTATGCTCAAAGTAGGCTTTGAAACCAGGAAGCAATAGGTTTTTATTACCTTTAATTTTTAGGTTCCAAAACCTATTTGAGAAAAAGACGTTTGTCCTTGCTTCCCTTATCTACTTAGTCAAGCTGAGATCTTAAGATGTTTATGTATTAAAATCTGTAAGACTGCTTCATTGGTGAGTTAATGGTGGGCGTTTAAGCTTGGTGTTGAAGACATTGGACAGGAGTGATATGCATAAATAGGTCTCCACGCAGGTTTAAAGGGTCATTGCTGTTGGTGGAGTCCAACACCTTTTCCTGGTGTGAGGGTTCAGAGAAGCCCAGGTGGTCTTGCTGGTTTTTTCCACTCATGAATGCCTGTCTCACAAGGCCAGGCACTTGCCTGTCTTGTACCCCCTTCCCAGAATGGTGGCAGGTGCTCAATCTGGGCTTAAATGTGTTTGGAATAAACATGGAAGAGGGAGGATTCAAACCCAAACAGCCTGCGGCCCTCCTTTCTGACTCATATAGACCTCACAGGACAGAGCAGAACTCCAGAATGCTTCCTCCAAGGCTGCGACTCTTCATGGACACAGGCCACCTCATCTTTCTCAGGAACTGCTTGTGGGTTTGAACTGCTGGCCTCAGTGGCCTGGTGTTTAACCCACAGCTCCACCACGGTGTCTTATAGAGGGAATCCAGACACACGTAATCCTAAAGTATATTTTATTATGAAGGTCGTGAACAGGCTGAACTAACTGGTCTCCGACTAGCAAGCCTGGGGTTGAAGTTTGACAAAATCATACATTCCTCCATGACTCGAGCTACAGAAACAACAGACATCATCAGCAAGCACCTGCCAGGTGAGTCCACCACCATGCATGTGCTCGGGCAGGGACCAGGAGATTCTGCCCAGGATGCCTACCAACCCTCCGGGGTCTCACTGTGCTTCTCTTCAGGGGTGTGCAGAGTCAGCACAGACCTGCTCAGGGAAGGCGCCCCCATTGAGCCTGACCCACCCGTGACCCACTGGAAGCCAGAAGCTGTGGTAAAAGCCCTAGCCCAACATGGGAGAGTTCCCCTACCCCCGGCCACATCCCCATTTCCCTACCCAAGTGGCCCCCTTGCCTGCTTTCTCCCAGGGCTCTCCATCCCTGGAGTTTACCATCTTTCTTCTTAATGGCTGCTGTGAGATTGGCACGTCCAACTCCTTTCACGACCGGCCCTAAGAGGTGTCCATGTTGCCATCGCCTCGCATACTTAAGATCCCCTCTTTTGCCCCCAGCAGTATTATGAGGACGGGGCCCGAATTGAGGCCGCATTCCGGAACTACATCCACCGGGCGGATGCCAGGCAGGAAGAAGACAGTTATGAGATCTTCATATGCCATGCCAATGTCATCCGCTACATTGTGTGCAGGTGAGGGCACCAGGCCTCTACGTGCTCGGGGAGGTAGAGCCACCCACACCTGTCTGAACCCTTTGGCTGCTGACTTAGTTTTAGAGGTGCAGACTTAAAGAAAAATGACAAAGACCATGCAGATTGCTTGCGTGTATACCTGTAGTCCATAGTAGATTACTGTTGACACACTATTTGAGTGTCTCCCCGTCTCTTTAAGGGCTGGGCTGGGTCCAGCTGTGCTATTCTGCCTTGCTTCACCTGCGGCTCCACCAGTCAGGAGGGCCCTTGGCTGTTCCTCACATCACTGACCACTTGTGATGAGTTGTAGGCTGGTGTTTTCTGGGAATTGTGTATTTCTGATAGGAAGATGCTGTGCTGATCTAGGGAGGATCCCCCAGGTAAGGGTGTCTGCTGGCTTCCTCACAATGAAACTTTGTTTCTCCTCGGCTATATCAGCATGTGCTCTCGGGCCTGTGTGGCATACCCTTCTCCTGTTTATTCAAGGAAACTTAAGTTTGACAGTGAGCTGCCCTTTCCTTCCATGCATTTTTCTGTCAGCATGGGCTCACGGTTATTTTAGTCTTTGGGTTTATAAACTAGTACAATATTGATGATTTTGTTGTTCAAATTGCTCTAGCCAGCTCTTTAGAGAATTCCTTTGCTTAAAATGTAGGGACTTGACCCATGCTATCCTTGCCCAAGACAGAGGCCTTACCTTGGGGTAGCTGTTAGCTTTGGCAGGACCCCTACTGCATTCTCCAGCCGTGGATGGTAGGAAGAGTGATGAAGAACAGTGGGCTCACTGCTCATTCACATGCAAATTTCTCTTCCAGAGCCTTGCAGTTTCCACCCGAAGGCTGGCTCCGACTCTCTCTCAACAATGGCAGCATCACCCACCTGGTTATCCGACCCAATGGCAGGGTTGCACTGAGGACCCTTGGGGACACAGGGTTCATGCCTCCCAACAAGATCACCCGGTCCTGAGGGATAAGCCATGGGCACCCCAGGCAGCCACCAGACACTGCTGTCCCCATTCTCAGGATACCATGACCACATGCATCTCCTTACCCCCAGGCTACTTGGCAGCTGCATTTTCCTGCAGAACAGGAATACTGTCTGCAGTGATGTGTTCTAGTACTTGCCTTTGGCCTGGGATGAGCAAGGATCGTTAATCCCAGACAGGCAGCCCGGTGTCCCCTTCCCATAACTTGAGACACTCTGGTGGGAGGTGGGCTAGTTTCCCAGACAGCAGACGCTGGACTGTCGTGGGTTTGTACGAGGACTGGCAGCTGTCCTCACTGCAGACACGCATACCCCACAAACCCAAGGGTCTTCCATTTTGACAGCACCAGCCATGGCCCTGAGGCACGCAGGGACATCAGAAGGGCCAGACCGCTGAGCAGTGGTGGTAGCCCCTGCGCTCATCATGGCTCACGTCACTCTATACTTGCTCTTCACTTATAAAAATCATGTGTCCCTTCATCTCAGATCTTGCTTTGAAAGTCAGAACCAGGGCTGCAGATCCCTGAAGTGGATGGGTAGGTCAGAATGTACCTGGTCTCTCAGACCTTCAGGGTGTGAGGACCCATGCACTGACCAGGGTGCCACACTCTCAGCGTGGTAGCATTGAACGCTGGCTTGGTGACAGGAAGATCATGTGCAACAAACTGTATTTTAATACTTAGGACTGCAGGCTTCGCCTTTGTCGTTTGCCTCTGGTTGTTAACCTTTTGTTTATAAAGTGGTTAAGATACTTAGACACGACCCGTCCCAAATATCGTTAAATTAGGAAGGCTACAATTTCTATATAGTGGTGGGGATTTTCTGAATCATGCAACTAATTGGACTATTTGATCTATTTATCTGTCAACTTTGGAAATAAAATTTTCTTTTCCTTTGCTTATTGGTGTAAACAGCAGCTGTGTGACACTGACGTTCTGCCGGAGCGGTTTCTCTGCGTCCTTGTGCTGAGCTGGCATGTGTGCCCAACAGCCATGCTGTGAAAGGGGGTCTCGGTGTAGGACAGGCCAGGTGTCACCGACTGCCCAGTCAGGAACAAGTACTGTCGTAGAGGAGTTGTGTCGTAGAAAGTGAGTGCCCCTCACATTTTTTATTACACTGACCTGAACGCTGTGAAAGGCTCTGGGAACAAGCAGAAATTATTACGGAGGCTCTTTTGCAGACAGCCCCACTGCCAGCAAAGAGGACCGTGTTAGATCCACGACATAGAATTCATGGAGTAAACAAAGGGCAGCTGATCCTGCCCTCCCCCACTGCAGCAGAGTGTACTTTGTCCATCAGAATACTGCCGAGGACATGACTAGAAAGGGCATATTCTCTCCAAGCACAGGTGGGCGAGAACACAAAAGCTGTGAATGACCACTGCGTGGTGGTGAAAGTAATGTGCTTAGTCTGTTCAACAGACTAGTTCTTGCATGGATGGGTTTTTTCCCCATGTCTGTACAGCTTGTAAAAACAAGTGGTCAAAGGCAGTCCAAGACATGGAAAGGTGATGGTCAGCTGACCAAGAAAGTAAGGCAACAATGACAGTCATTCTTTAGTATTCCCAACAGATAGGTTCCGTATATGAAACGGTGTCGTGTTTGCACACTCCTGAAGTACAATGTACGTACTAGGCAAATAGCAATTCACCTCCCTCAGAGTCTGAGGGTTGGCTCTGATCACTTAATCTGTGTTTAGGAGCCACTCCCCCACCCCCTTATTCCCCCTACAGGTGGGTCTGCAGATAAATGGAGGGCTATTTTAATTACCATCTAAATATGACACTACATAGGATTTCAAGTAAAACAGGTCTGTGAATAATAGAACATCAGAATTGATTCTAGAGATTCTACCTGTCCATCGTGAGAGAAAACATATTTCAATTAATACTTAACAAAGGAAAAGAATTTCATATGTCTACTTCGTATATTCTCAAAAAGTATATACAGGGAAATTCCAAATGATTTACAAAAGGCACTGAAGTTAGCAAAAGCTTGACAACTTTTGAACCCAACACTGCAATTGGAACAATCCGTTGAAGAAGACCCGCTGGAGAACACCGGAGGCCTGTCTGTGTCTCAGGCGCCCTGCGGACTGCCCTTCCTGGGGAAAGGTTGAGAGGCTCAGACGAATCCCAGCAAAAATGCCTCTCCACTTTTACCTTCAGTGGATCCCAGCAAAAATGCTACACGGGAGCCACTGCAGGTGACTGGAGTGAACTGGGGGCTGCGGTGGTGGTGAAGACATCTGCTGGACAGCTTGTCACCGGCAGGAGCGGTTGAGTTCTTCAGCAGAAAACTAAGGGTCGAGGTCCCAGTCGACTTGAATGTTCTTAGTCACCTATGTGAAAATGCTGCTGCAGGTCCAAGAAGCAAGCTTTCTTCCCAGCCACTGCCTCGACCTGCCTGGCCCGCTGGGACAGTCGGCAAACCAAGACAGGGTTTTCCTGCCATGTGCAGTGTTCTCGGGGAGGCTGTGTCAAGCCTCTATTCTCCATCACTCTCAAAAACAGAACTGATAGCAGAAAAGTCTGCCGTTACCATAGTGACATTTTCCAGGTCACGTTTCATGAGGTCACTTTCAACTTCTCCCAAATGTTTCAGAACTTTGAACTGAGTACAGAACGTTTTATTTTCTAAGCTTTTACCCTCAAAATGAGGATCAATAAATTAGTATTCCTCTGTGAGTTACCTAGCAGTGAACAAACTCACCTTCTCATAATACAAAGAGCACTTGAGCTTACAGGGCTGCCAGCTCAGCCAGGCGTGCCATCCTGCGGAGGCGGCCCCCGTTTACCGGGCTGTACCGCCCAGGGCTGCCTATGCCAGGCAAGTATGGTTGGACACTAGGCCTCCCTGGGCTGCCAGCAGCAGGTCCTCCACATTGTCCTGAACTGTAGCTGTGGGCAGAACTGAGATCCAGCTGCTGAGGCTTGAACTTCCCTTTCAACGCAGGGCTTGGCCAACTAGGGAAACCAAGAGAGGCGGGTTATCAGGACTGTGTACCTCTGAAAGCAAACAATAGGAGCTGGAGGGTGAGGAGCTAATGGGTGAGGGGGGTGGGGGGTGGTGAGGGCGAGGTGGCGAGGAGTTGGGCGGTGCAGAGCTGGCAGTGAGCAGGCAGAGCAGCAGCAAAGGAAGGGGACCTGGGTTGTGGGTGGATCCCAGGGGGAATCTGTCACCAGCAGCCTTTCCATGGTCCAGTATTGGAAAGTGAAATGGTGAGCAGGACTCCCTGTGGATTCCACCTGCTACCCGGTGGCTATCTGTGAGGACCTCTGTTCTGTCCACAGCCCCCTGGGAGTCAGGGTCCCACACAAGCCCAGCTGCCAGGCGGACCTGCACTGGGCAGAGGGGCTCAGCCAGTGGGGTAAATGGAGACAGCTGCCCTGCTAGCTCCATACCTCTTTCTGTCTGAAGGCGAGTAGGCCAGCACGGCCCCCTTCCACCTGAGGATGGCTGGGTACTGTCGAGGGTCGACATCCGCACACTCTAGGGCAGCCAGCACGTCTCGGTCCAGCTTCGAAGGCTTTTCCCTAGAGTGCATAACAGAAGGAAAAAGAGTAAGAACAGCTCTAACCAGCATCCCTGCTGGGGACACAAGCACAGCAGTGACACGGTGGTGGACAATGGACCGAGGGGCATGCCACCAATGCATGAGGTTCTGGGGCCACTGGTGTAACCAGTCTAGTCAATTATACTCAGGGGTGCCAAGGGCCAGCTGATCTGGAAGAGGGGGCTGGAAGCCAGGGCAGCTGAGGGCTCAATGAGACTGACAGAGGGCACCGGGAACAGGGTGGGGCTTCACATCGCCGGAACTGAGCAGGGCCCTGGGAATGTCAAGGTCCCCTCCTCAAGACGCCATGCCGTTAGCTATTATGAGAGCTGGCAGGACTAAGAGGACAAGCCAGTCAAAGTGGTACGACAAACACCCCTCCAACCTCCCCAGGGAGCATCACCCTCCTACCCGAGCAGGAAGAGACTGGTGGCCTTGTGTCCAGGCCCACTGGGATCCGGGGACATGTGGGCAACCTCAGCTGCCACCTCTTCTGTCCTCATTGGGTTATTCCCCAGCTCGAGGGCAGCAAAAGTAGTTTCTGACGAGCCACCTCCCACAGAGTCCACTCTCGGAGTCAGGGTGATCTCATTTTCAGTTTCTTTGTCACCTGGTGTCTTACAAAAGTCACTTCCCAGATTTTGAAGATTCAGTTGGTCAAATCTGACAGTTAAGCTGGAGACGGGTGACAGGAAGGAGTCCTCCCCAGCAAGGGGCACCGGGTCCTTCCCCCTGCAGGGCCTAGCCTGACTCGGGGCACCGCAGAAGCCATTTCTGCCGTCACGCCGACTACTCAGATCCGGGCTGTCTGTGAGCTGTACATCCTGCCCCATGGGAAGTATGTCACGCCTCAAGTCTCCAAAGGTCCCAGTGGGGCGTGGGTTGGCATTCCGAGCGGCATTTTGCCAATTCTTAATTTCTTCCAAGCTCATATTCTCATCTTCATCTAGAAATGCCCTCACGGAGATGGAGTTGCTGCGCTTCTTAGCGGCACCTTTGGGCAACAAAAAGGAGGTCTGAGTCCTGGGACCCACAGACTGAGGCACCCCCACGGGCAGCCCAGGCAACTGGCTTTGCTTGATGTCAAAACTGGCAAGTCCCAGGACGCTATCCCGTGCCTTCTGAGAAAGAGGCACTTGCGAGGCAGGCAGGTTCTGCAATAGGGCGCAGAGGCCTCCCATGCAGGTGAGTCCAGGCTGCGCCCCACCCCTGGGAGGGGTGACCTTCAGCCCGACCTGCTGGATTTGAGGACACAGAGGAAGTAATGTGAGATGCTAGCATGGTCCTAAAAGACCTATGAGACCCAGCCCTCAAGGTGGAACTCTGCATGTTACTCTCCAGCTGTGGGAGCCACACAGGCCTGCTTTTAGAGCAGCACTGCGCAGGGCCTTCACGTGAGAAGCAATGCTCACTCTGTACGGTCTTAACCTTTGAAATCTTGCTAGAACTGAGGAGCTAACTTAATAAAGTCTAAAACCTGCGACCCGATATGGAACACAGCTCTAGAGATGACACAGTCACTTTATAGAGTGAACAGGCCCATTTTAAGTTCCTCTAACTTCTGGCCCTGGTGGTGTGTGGAGTGGGTTAGGGTGGGTAGGCAATGGCAAGGCAGTGGTTTGAATTCACCTCGGGGGAAAGATGAGGCTTTCTGATCTCATAAAGATCTCCGCCTAGAAGTCTTTCTGATAGGAGCAACTTTTTTGGCTTAGCTGCTACCCCGGCCTTGACAGGGACGCTCCTCTCTCCTCAGCCACCGTTCCTGCAGGGTGTTTCAGGCTGGCTCTCCCGGAAGGTGCGTCTGAACTACTTTCCTTTCCAGCACCCCCTCCAGTCTACTTGCTGGAATAAAGACCCTCGGGGCCAATGGGCTCCAACTACGTCACTGAAAGCCACAGATGTAAAATCTATCTGTACTGATTTCTATACTGACAGCTTCTAAACCCCGTTACCAAGACTTTCTTTGGTAGCTACTTTCCTCATGACCACATTTCGTCAGGCCCACTGCCATCGAGGTCGCTCCCTCCCACAGCGAGCTGAGAGAGAGTTTCTGGGGCTGCCACCTTTCTGTGAGCAGAGCCCCCTTTCTCCTGAGGGGCAGCTGTCTGGTGAGGTTTCAATCTCATCGCCAAGCCGAATGAAAACTGACCTGCCAGTTTTGTTCCCTCCAGGGAGACATCACCCGCCACCCCCCCACCCCCCCAGGCCTGGTTTATGAAGGGACTTCCTCTCACCGCTCTGAAAGTCCCCTTGAGCCTGGATGTGTGACAGTGGCTTTATTCCTCCCACGCAAGCTTTTATCTCCTTGTAAAACTTCCTTTCCTTTCTGCCCATCAGGTTTCTAGGACATTTCTGTCTTTTCCTTACTAATGTTTAAGAACGCTGCCCACTTTTTCTTTGTAAATGCTGTTGATGCTCTTAAGAGTCACTTTTAAGTTTGATGCAGTCTAATTTAACCTCTCCTATGTGTTGTTCAAGCTTTAGAAGTCCTTGCTCAATGACATCTGTCTTTTTTTCTTGGAAAACACAGGATGTACTCAAATATAGAAACTATTTTTAAAATTACCTAGGGAAATTAGAATTCTAACTCAACTATCATAGATCCTTAATCAGCGGAGTTCAGCGATGATTAAGTTTGGCAACTCAGCCCAGCTGGTAATATTGGTTCTGGGTGGTACTGCTGGCTGGTGATGCCAGCTTTGCCCACGAACACCGTGAGTCTCAGGGCCCTCACCAGAGGCTTTGTTCTGCACACGAGTCTCGTTCTCTCCCGATTCGTGTTGGCTCTTTTTCTCCACTCCTTGCTGAGTAAGATATTCTTCTAGTTTCTGCAGGCCTTCCTGGGAAGACAGATCAACAAAACAGCCCAGGAATTCCCAGTATTCGCCCCAGGGGTACCCCAGGTCATGCGCTAGGTCCCTGCAACAAACAAAATAAAATCCGTCAGTGTGAAAAGCAGGAAAGACACATCACAGAACTGCCTACATGAAAAGCAGCACCACCCAGCTGCCTGAGAAGCTCCCACCAGGGCTGTGTCCTGCTCCTCCCTGCCTAGGGGCTGGGGCATTGTGCTCTGCACGCTCTGGGTCTCCCTCCTCCCAGCAGGGCTGCAGCCCCAGCAGCTCCTCACTCGCCTTGGGTGGGATGGCAAACAAAGTCCTGGACTGGGAAGAGAGGGACGAGGCAAGACTGCTGTGCTTACAGCCCAACTCTCGCTTTGGCTGGGAAGGGCAGAGGTCAATGTTTACCCTGTAGCTGTTCCCTCAAGGGAACAAACTGGGCTCCTTTGAGGCTAGGCTCTACCATATTCACTGGCACGACCTACATTTACACGCTGATCCAGCTTCCCGAGTCTAAGAATAACACTTTAAGGGACCTTTTTCCAGGAGTAGTTTCTAGCATGACCATCTCTCATGTCACTAATTCAGAGGGTATGCAGCCTCCTGTATTTCTGAGAAACACCACCCGTACAGTATTTTATAGACACGAAAAATCCCAGATTCCTACACTATAGGTGCAGGGCCAGTTGAAGGTTTGGCAAGCATTCCTCTAACTGAGCTGCCCACCTGCTGTGAGCACAAAGCCTACTAGGAACTGCCCCTTGAGTTTCAATGGAAAGAAAATGCCGCTGGACCTGTTTTGGGGACTGCTGTTGCACAGATTACAGCAACGAGGTTATGCCACCAGGCAAGTAAGTACAGGCCCTAGTACACAGTGCCCTGGCTTATCTCCTTAATATTTTCTGTACCTTCCCACTCTTTCCACGCCTCTTTCTGGATCAGATTTCCGGACATGATGGAAGAAACCTGCTTTCTCCCGTGGTGGTGTTTTCCAGAGTTTGCGGAATTCTTCTGCCTGCAAAGACCATAGGAAAACAAAGGATCCCCGTCACACCCCTCTAGGAGCCTTTACCGTGGAGACGGCCCCCCGTCTCCCAGCGCCAGCCCTTCCTCCTCCTCTAGGTTACAGGACCCAGCATGTTGGTCCTGGAGCCACCATGTCCCTTCCACTCTGTCTGAACTTCAGAAAGGTGCCTTCGAAGGAAGGGGCCCTTCTTTCTCCCTTACAAATACTCTGGCTTGGGCTGTGGGGGTCATAGCTGGACCCCCATAGGGCACATGCTAGATCCTGAAGCCAGCAGAACAGAGCACAAACACCACCACCATCACCCCCCACCCCCCTGGGGCCAAGCAGCTCAACCATCTCAGCTCCTCTCTTCCCATCACACATGAGGATTCATGCAACCCAGTGTACACCTAACCCATACCAACTGCTTCTGGAGACACAGGACTGCAGATCTTTGATTACTTAAGATTTTTTAATATAAAGATGACATACAATGCCAATAAATGTGACATTCAACTAAGGGGTAGGCGGGGCTGGGCTCTATCTTTTACTGTTGTTTGGCATTCAGAACCTGAAGGGTTTATCTGAGCTTCTGGGAGACGGGAGCACTCCAGAGGCAGCAGTGTGGACACATCCCAGGGAAGCAATGTCAATGACTTGCAGTAGCTGGACAGGAAGCAAGTGGGAGATGAACTCAGGGGAACTGAAATCCAGAGGGAGGGCCTCATGTGCTTCAGCAGTTGTGTGGGAACACCAGGGAGAGGGCCTGGCAGCTCCCAGAACAACTCACCTTGGATGGACTCAAGGGCCCTGCGAAGGCTCTCAGGGTCAGAATGGGGTCACAGGGACTGCCTCCGAAGCGGCCAGTGAGTGGCGCCTCAGCTGTCTGGTCTGAGGACCACAGCTCCCCGATCACTGGAGAAGACGTGTCCTCTGCCCGAAGGAGCGGCACGTAGCAGTGACCTGCAGGGGAGATAACAGAGTGTCCTGTTCATGGTGACCTGTCACCCTGTGGATGGCAGGTGTCTGGGCAGCAGCTTAAGAAACCAGACGCGTCATTTTGGGGGGGACTTTGCCAACAGTCTCATGATAATACAGAGGTACAGAAGCTCTGCAGCTCTCAGGACCCGCAGACTTGTCCACTTCCCGGTCACATACTAGGCCCACGGTCCTGTCAAGAGAGGAAAAGGGCCAGGCTCCCAGACACGATTAGCAAAGAATGAGAGCTCAAATAAATGATGGAGTAGCTACATTTTCTTGGTCCCTCCATTTCCCTGTTCTGGAATCACCCATAGTCCTTGAAGCTGGCCTGGGATCAGGTCAACAACTCTGCCGGGAAGCCCTGAGAGTCCAAAGCCAAGGGCTAGAGGGTTTCCGTGGGGACACCTCCCCCACTGCTCCTGAGGGTGCCTCATTCCTCACTCACCAATCCCTGACCACTGCAGGGAGGGGCCGGACAGGAGGGACAAAAGCTTATGCTGGCTGTGAATGTAGTTCAGTGTTTCTAAATGCCTTTACTTCTATTCATACTTTTCTCACATGATAAAAGTACAATCTTTGAAAAAACAATGCTGACAACCAAAGCAAGTAAAACACCACACTTCACATTTACCATCTGAGTTCAGGGTACAGGGTGTCTCTGTACCCGAGCCATGACCCCCAGCAAACACAGCCCAGCTCAGGTAGCTGACCCCCGCAACATGAGCCTCAACCTCAGGATGCTGATGGCCAACACTTACCCTGTAAATATTCTCTGATCTGTTCCTTCAGCTCCAGAGATTTGCTTTTACTTCTTTCACAAATTACCTATCAAATAAACAGAACATCCACACTGTCTCATTGATCCCTTTTCTCATTACGGTACTTCATGAAGGCAGGTGTTAAACTCAGCAAGGAAGGGGCTGCTTCCTGAACACTGCTGGGCTGGCAGGGTCCGCATCACAATGGAGTGCTGAACCCTGGCGTCCATCTTCTGAGATGTTTTGGAAAGGACTCAGGGACAGGATGGACAAAGCACGCTCTGGCGGGTCAGTCCTATTTTGTCTCCTCACACCGCTCTCCATTTCCTAGCTTCCTCAAAGAAAGCAAAATCTGAAAGTGCACCATGGAGTCAGCAGGTACATGGACCGGTTGGAAGTGCCTTGGTTTTATGAGCTTCACTACCTCGGAACCTTTCCCACCAAGCACATTTCTGCCCTGCCAGAACGATATATCCAGTGAGTGCAACTAAGTAAATTTTAAGTCTGTGACTCATGATTGGCGGAAGGCAGAGAGTTTTAAAGTTGGTTACCAACTAGCATTTTATGCTAGGATTATGCAAAGCTTAATTCTATTTAACTTGAGAGCTTCAAAAATTTGGTGGAAATAGTTCATTCTCTTTCAATTGCACTTTTCCACCAACATAAGGTATCCAGGAGTCTGAGTAGGTGAGGAGTCAACTAAGCACAGCAAACAAATATAATTTAATATGTTAATCTTTTAATACTCAATTGACAGATAATTAGCATTTGATTTGACTACTAAAAAATCTATCTCCAGGGAATGGATCAATGGCAAGGTGGTCAAAATGACTGAGTTGGAGGAACTTTTATCAGTCAATATTACAATAAGGATTGACAAAAGGATGGGGCTTTAATTTATGTTGCGACAAACCCCACTAAACTAATAGGAAAAGTGAGGTACTGTTAAAAGTAAAGTACTGTTATTGGATGAGGAGAGAACTCCTATTACAGAGGCAGGGGCAGGAGCCACCAAGGCCGGACCCTCACAGGTAGGTTAACAGTGCCAGCACCTGGTTGGCACCAAGCTGGCCCCTGGCTCTCAAGTGGCCCTGCGCCTTTCTCCACTCCACAGGTGCAGCTCGTTACAGCCAGGCCCTTGCCTGCTGGCAACAAAACAAGTGCACACGTCAACATTTCACCACCGCCACTACCATCCCCTCAGCCCAGGTCAGCTGGTGTGTACCCAGAGGGAGCACTTGACAAAAGACTATGATAGGCCACTCGAAACCACTGGTCCAGGGAAAATGCAGTCAGCACAAGGAAGAGTAGTAGCACCATTTACCAAATGCTGAATTGATCAAACCAGGACAAAACATGACGGTAATGAACTGAATTATAATATACATGCAGGGAGCTTCCAAAGTTAATGGAAAAATCCCATTACCTTTTCCTTACATTTTTTTTAACTAACTATTGGAAGCTTCATATATACCCTGCAGTCTAACAAGGGCACAATGTAGTGCCCATGTGGGGGGAGGCCAGATGCTTACAGACATCCCTGAAGGCAATAGCTGCCAGACCAGCCCCACCACAGGGGTGGGCCTGCTCCCTGCTGCTGGGGACAATGGATTACTTCTCCCCGAGGCCTGCGACCATTAGCTTGGCTCCTCTAGGTGGAGTTCACACCCTACCAATAATGGTCTCTATCAGTTGAGCCAGGGAACAGGTCAAACTGCCTCTGTGACATCCAAAGTTAAAGCTGCCATCCTAAATCTAAGATTGTGTGTAAGTCCCTAGACCACCCCCTCTCATTGCTGTATAACCTATAGTGCAACCCCTTCTTGTGACGTATGTCTACCTGTAATTAGGGGGCTTGCATGCCCCCAAAAGGTATATAGGCCTGGGTTAGCAATAGAGATCCCTCTCCCTCCTCTCTTCCCCCTCTCCTCTCCTGTCCTCTCTCCCTTGTTCCCTTTCCCATCCTCCTTCCCTTCCCCCTCTCTCCAGGAGGACCACCAAGCGGGGCTGAGGTGAGCAATCCTACCATGAATCTTGTCTGACTCCATGGTTTGACTCTCTCTTCTATTGCTCATGCTCTCGATGACTTTAATATAATACATATATCTCAATCTCAACTGTACAATTGTGCTAATTAAACCCACGATTAGTGGGGGGGGCTGCCTCCCCCAAACCCCCCCACCTAATACTACATGCCTGTGGGGGGAAGTCAGATACTTTGCTGCCAGACTGCTGTCTCATACCACAGCAGGGCTGGGCCTGCTCCCTGCTGCTGGAGACAATGGACTACCTCTCTCTGGAGCCTAAGGCCATTAGCTTGGTTCCTGTAGGAGGGGTTTGCACCCTACTGATAATGTTCCTATGGAGACCCAGAGACTACCCCCCTAGACCACCCTCTCATTGCTGTGTAACCTATAGTGCAGCCCCTTCCTGTGACGGATGTCTCTACCTGTAATTAGTGGGCTGGCATGCCCCCAAAAGTTATATAGGCTCGAGTCAGCAATATAGAAGACACAGACTTCTCTCTCGGACTCTGACCTCCCTGACTCTCTTCCCCCTCTCCCTTGTTCCCTTTCCCTCCTTCCCTTCCCCCTCTCTCCACGTGGACCACTAAGCTGGGCTGAGGTGAGCAATGTTGCCATGTAACATGCCTGACTGTATTATTGTATTATCTCTCATGCTCTCGATGATTTTAACATAATACTTATATATCTCAACCGTACAATTGTGCATTACCGAACCCTGAAGTAGTATTACTGAATCCGAGTAGTAGTAATAGGAGTATCAGCGGTAGGGGCTGGCCCCCCACCTTCACCTCCCCAGCGCCATTTTTTAAATTTAATACTACACATGCCCACCTACATTTTTTGCCTCTGGGATTTAGTGGAGGCTGCCACCTCATTTTTAATATATGTCGCCATCTGGTGGGGCCTGGAAAAACAGATGTCATCCCACCAACCTCAGCACCTACGACTCCTTGGGGTATGTGTCCCACTAGTACAAATGAAACCCACATTACCACATAAACAAAGATTTCCCAATTTCACTCAAAATGCTTTCTATTACTGAAAACATGGTCTCAACAACAAAAGAAATTGAAAACATAAAATAACTTGGTCTTGGAAGTATCCAGAGACCAAGTTCTGACTCCCTCAGGGTTGCCCAGAGTGGAGCTGACTCTCAGTGGGGTGTTTGGGACACGCTTCCACTTCTCAATCCACCCCACCACGGCATTCCAACAGGGACTTACGTCTTCCGGGGTCTTGTCATATTTATTCTTACAGTTTTTGACAATCAAAGGATGGGAAGAGAGGACATTGACCACATCTGCATGACCAAACTTGCAGGCGAAATGCAGGGGTGTGTCGTAGCCCTAGAGAATGAAGGAGCAGAAGGGCACTGCGTCACGAGGCTGCTGGACAGTGGAAGTAGGCATTTAGCAAAAGGGTGTTGCAGAAGCAGATCAGGGACCACACAGTCCCAAGGCCCTGCCACGCACGGGTGCTCCTTATCCAGCTGGAGGCACAGCACGTCCTGGGCTGCAGCAGTGTCGACACTGGGGCCTAGAGCTCCGAATGGGAAAGAAACAGGCAGAGGCAATATTCAGCATAAAACAATGGCCACAAAATTGGGCTGCTGTCAAAGAAAATGTGGGCCTATGTGTTTTCCAGTGTAAGGTGAGGTTGCAATTAGCAGCCCTGGTGTCACCAGAACAGTATCCTCACCACAATCAGAGGGGCTAAGGGCACCGCCTCACAGGGCTGCTGGGAGATCTCAGAATCACTGACTGGCATAGAACCCTGGGCACTGTGCATGGCAGTCCCGCTCTTTATGTTCTGACTACTCTCCTCACTCCTGCTGCCCTCAGACCTGACGTCACAGTGGGCACCTGCATTGTTTCAAGCCCCCCACCCCCACCCCCCAGAAGGCAGCAGGGACTGGCCAGTTGGTGGACTCTCACACATGCCTACAGAGAATACACCACCACCAAAATCTGGGCGTGATGGACGCGAGAGGACAAGCCCCTTCCCCCATGGGCAATATATAAGGGCTTCACACCCTTCCTGGGGTCCCTTCTGACACCTTGCACTTGCCCTGAGGAACATCGTGCCAGGCTCTCTAATGGCACAAACATGTCAGGAACCGTCATCTGGCCAAGCAATGTGCTCTTCTCAGGAATACGTAGCACAAGAAGGCAGTGTGAGAAGAACAGCCTCCGACTTGGGGGGCCCCCTGTCTGAGAAGTAAGGGACATGCAGCCTGGAAGGCTAGGAGGGAGGCAGGCTTTCTCTAGGCTCCCAGACAGAGCCCACGGCCCCTCACATCCCTCCTTCACCCGGCACTCACTCAGTGAGCTCCCAAGAGCTCACTCACCATCTTGTCAGGTGTGTTCAGGTAGAGGTCGACGATGTAGTGAATGCGTTCCTGCAGCATGCTCTTGTCGTCATCTGGGTACATGAGCCGCATGAACTCGGGGTTCTCCAGCGTTTCCAAGGTCAGCTGGCAGAGGGAAGGCTGGTTCTCCTTGGCAGCAACGTGCATGACGTTGTACCGACAGCCTTCCTGCAAGAAATGGTCTCTTCTGAGCCTCTTCTCCTCTGTCGTGAGAACAGTGTGCACAGTGACACAGTCTGCGTGACGCAGCGCCGACATCAGGCTTACCTGCACAATGGTGGGATTGTCCCCGGAACCAATGAGATACCGGGGGTTACTCCAGACAAGGTCAGAAAAGGTGCCAGTCTCTCCCTTCTCCACCGCTTTCCGCAGTTTGGCTGTGAGATCCTGGGTCCGGGGATTTTTGTAACTGTTAGCACGTTCTTTGTTGACGGTTTCTGAATCTGAGGAGTAGAAACCATCTGTCATTAAAAGAATGATGTATGGGGGTGGGTGCAGCGGAAAAGCAAGGGAATGGAGCGGCAAGGTCCCCAGGGAATGCTGAAGGTGGACTGTGGGGCCAGGGCGTGGTGCCCCAACAGACTGGACTGAAAAACACCCCTATTGGCCAACGATCCTTAAACGAACTACAAGCTTTTCTTTGTTGTGTTGTTTTTGTTTTGTTTTTTTTGTCAGTGGTTTGTTGTTACTGTTTTGTTGTATATTGTTGCTTGGTTTTGCTCTGTCTTGTTTT